AGGTTATCTCTAAAACGTCCCCAATAATAAGTCAAGCGGCATTCCCTCCTATAAAAATATATTAATGTATCTGCCTTTGTGTCCCTCTTGAGCAGTTACATGCATCACAACTATTTAAATGTGTCCCCCAAGGCAATGAGACTGGCTGCCCCATACCTGTCATGGCTTTCATCAAGGTGTGGATGCAGGTGGTCTTCCCTGCCCCACTGGGCCCTAGGGCCATCATTCCATGCCTCACCTTCTGCGTTTCAAACAGCTGGATAACTTTCAGTTTCCAAGGAGGGTGATCGATTAAACCAGCTTCTTCAACCTGAAAACATAACAAAACCCCCACATTGGAACACATCAACAATAATCTGGATTTAATATTGTGCTAAAAAAATACACAAGAATATAGGGAGAGGGATTTGTTGTTTAATAAATACAGAGTTTCAATTTGGGAAGATGAAAAAAGTTCTGAAGATGGATGGTGATGACGGTTGCTCAAAAATCTGAATGTGCTTAAAGTCACTGAACTGTATGCTTAAAAAGGGTCAAAATAGTAAGTCTAATGTTATACATTTTACCATGATAAAAAATACCTCATGAAAAATACATATTTACATAGACGAAATCAGGCTGAACATAATCTAAATGCTATCCCAAGCTAATAAGAAACAGCTGCATTTGTCTTTGGGAATTGAATATATTTACATTAACATTTTATTGAATGCACATCTGAGGATCAACTTAAAAATAAAGATCCAAATGGCAAAATGTATTTACATTTTTAATTTGTAAGATGATACATATAATTGGAAAATCTGATAGCACACCAGGTTGATTGGAATTTCATATAAATTTCAAGCTATCTTTGTAAGTCTACTGCATAGTTTTTATCTATTAATATGTGTGGAAGTTACTCTGTGGAAAACATCATTCTAAGATTAATCTTCCTAATAACATGATGAAAATGGTACTATCGATAACCTTCGTTTTACAGACAAGACAATTGAGGCACAGAGTGACTAAGCAGTTTGCCCAAGTTGATCAACTTGTAAAGTTATGAAATGGGGATTTAAGCCCAAGAAATTCAACTCCACGGTATATGTGCTTAACGACTGTGCTATGCTTGAACTCACCAAACACAATGATTTTAATTTTACTTAAATAATTTTGGATAATAATCCATATATTACTTTATGTTATATATTTGCCCATCATATTTTTTATATGCTACAAATTACTAATGTAAGTCATTCTATAAATTACTTAATACTTAGCTTTTTAGGTAGTGATACAATTAGTTTAGCCAAAAGATAAAGAAACCATTTATAGAAAACATTATCATTTTTACCTGATTGGGAAATGCAGACTTTTATATATTGATTTTTTAAGCAAAATATACATTAAATACTACCACATTTGATTTTTATTACAAATATTTTCAAAGAATTTAAATGTAGTTTATAAATATGAGTTAATCACCACTTCTATAAAACAACATTTTTTTTCCAAATTCTTCTTCATAGAAAAGGAAAATGAGGCACAAGTTTCACATGATTCATTTTCATTCCTAGGAAGACTATAAAAAGTTAAAGCTGCACCAAGTATTATGAGAAGTCCATATACCTAATGATAAATACACACAGTGGACCCCCCCAGCCCTGGAGCCTAAAGAAGAAACCACAAGTGCCCAGGGGAAAAAAGAATAATAATCCAGAGGCCACAGAAGATCACTACTAATAACGCTCAGAGTCAGGAGTCTGGGGATAAGGCAACGTGGCAAATGCCAGGGCAAAGGCAGAGCCAAGCCAAGCTTGGGCAAGGTAGCCAGCTGCACTGCAATCGCATTTCATTTCCGAATCTGGTGTGGGAGGTTTCTCTCAATAACCGGGCCACTCACGCTTGACCAACTGGACATGTGGTTGTGTAACAGGAGGAGACTCCAGGGCAGGGGGAGTTCTGTCAGTCTCCTTGTATCCTCAGTGTTGTTTTGTGGAGCCCACAGGTTTGGACCACAGCAGCACCACCTAATTCCCATTCGATTCAGAAGATGCTGCCCTGTGAAATAAATTATTACCTGTCTGCTAATTGCTGTTTCCAGCTCAGGGTAACCAGCCTTGTCCAGAAGAATATTTGGGAAAAGATCTTCAATCAAACTCAAAAATAAGGGTTCATCCTCATCAATCTAAAAAAGAAACAATGGGAAATCTGACCAATTATTCTGGCACAAACATAGCAAGGTACAAATAAGTTGAAAATGCCCAACACAGTCCAGGTTATTTCAATGTGACCATTAATAAATAAAATCTCACCTTCATTGAAGTTGACTAGTATTTTCCTCATCTTCCCCGTAAGTTATTATTTAAAAAAAAACAATTTTAAAGAAGGGGAGAAAAAGGAAGAAGAAAAGAGAAAGCAAGAAAATGGAAGGGAAGAAAATACT